CTTCTTTTATTTTATTTTATTTTATTTATTTATTTGACAGAGATCACAAGTAGGCAGAGAGGCAGGCAGAGAGAGAGAGGAGGAAGCAGACCCCCGCTGAGCAGAGAGCCCCATGCGGGGCTCGATCCCAGGACCCTGAGACCATGACCTGAGCTGAAGGCAGAGGCTTTAACCCACTGAGCCACCCAGGCGCCCCAAAACTTCCCCCCTTTCAATGGCAAATAGCCTTGTCTCTTACTTTCTCCCCAAACACGCAACTTCCCATCATACTACCTGTACTGGCTCTACAACTTGAATTTAACATTAGCTTCCCTTAATATTTTTAATGGGTACTTGTTAGATATTTGAAAACTTATGAATCAGAAAGGCATAACTAAAGAATGATTTGTTTACAAATGTGTCTGGAGCCACTATCCACTGGGCATGGGGAATACAGCAGAGAACAGCAAGACAAAATCCCTGCTCTCCTAGAGCTCTGTATAGTAGAAACAAACAAAGTAATTCCAGGAGCCTGCAGTTCTTTACACATTGTTTTTAGAGTCTAAATTTCTTTTAATTATCCCTCCTTGGGAAGCACCTGGGTGGCTCAGTGGGTTAAGCCTCTGCCTTCGGCTGAGGTCATGATCTCAGGCTGAGGTCTTGATCGAGCCCCGTGATGGGCTCCCTGCTCGGCGGGGAGCCTGCTTCGCCCTCTCTCTGCCTGCCTACTTGTGATATCTCTCTCTCTTTCTCTGTCAAATAAATAAACAAAATCTTAAAAAAAAAATTATCCCTCCTGGGTATCATGATGGGATGTGATATTTAAATCAGTTTCTCTCCATTATTTATTTATGTAACAAAACACAATATATGTGAATATTTTACATTTTAAAACTGACAATAACAAAATATATAAATTGCATACTATTTGTGAAATGTGTAAATATATAGTATATCTTCTTATTTTACTTTTTATTAAGTGTTTTACTTTAATTGCAGTATAGTTAACATACAGTGTTATATGCATTTCAGGTGTACAATATTCACCAATTCTATACAGTACTCAGTGCTCATCACAAATGTACTCTTAATCCCTATCACCTATTTCCTCTATCCCCCCCAACCGACCTCTCCTCTGTTCATTCTCTATAGCTAAGAGTCTGTTTCTTGGGTTCCTTTTTTTTCTTTTGCTTATTTGTTTTGTTTCTTACACTCCTTACACATATGAGAGAGATCATATGGTATTTGTCTTTCTTTGACTTATTCTGCTCAGCATTATACTCTAGCTACATCCATGTTGTTGCAAAAGGCGAGATTTCATTCTTTTTTACAGCCGAATAATATTCCACAGTATATATACACCACATTTTCTTTATCCATTCATCTGCTGACTGATATTTGGGCTGCCTCCGTAACTTGGCTATTGTAAATAATGCTGCAATAAACACAGGGGTGCATGCATCCCTTTTAATTGGTGCTTTGTATTTTGGGGGGTAAATACCCAGTAGTGCAATTGCTGGGTCATAGAGTATTTTCATTTTGAACTTTTTGAAGAACCTCCATACTGTTTTCCACAGTGGCTGCACCAGTTTGCATTCCCACCAACAGCGCAAACGGCTCCCCTTTCTCTACATCCTCACCAACACTTGTTGTTTCTGGGGCTTTTATTTTAGCCATTCCGACAGGTGTGAGGTGTTATCTTGTTGTAGTTTTGATTTGCATTTCCCTGATGATGAGTGATGTTGAGCATCTTTTCTCCTGCCCATGGGCCATCTGCATTTCCTCTCTGAAGTAACATTCTTTCATGTCTTCTACCCATTTTTTCATTGGACTGTTTTTTGGAAGTTAAGTTGTATAACTTCTTTATATATTTTGGATACTAACCCTTTATCAGAGATGTCATTTGAAATTTCTTCTTCCATTCAGTAGGCTGTCTTTTAGTTTTGTTGATTGTTTCCTTTGCTGTGCAGAAGCTAATATATGGTATCTTCTTCACAAATTATTTCCACTGAGTGACCCTCAGCTAAGGGGAAAATGGGTGGCTTAGTCAGTTAAGCAACTGACTTCAGCTCGGGTCATGATTTCAAGATCCTAGGATTAAGCCCTGGGCTCCGTGCTGAGAGAGGGGTCTGCTTGTCCCTGTTCCCTCTGCTCTTCCCCCTACTTGTGTCTGTGCACTCTCTCTCTCTCAAATAAATAAAAAATATCTTTTAAAAAAATAGGGAAGATGAAGGGCACCTGGGTGGCTCAGTGAGCTAAAGCCTCAGCCTTCAGCTCGGGTCATGATCCCGGGGTCCTGGGATCAAGCCCCGCATCGGGCTCTCTGCTCTTCAGGGAGCCTGCTTTCCCCTCTCTCTCTGCCGGCCTCCCTGCCTATTTGTGATCTCTGTCTGTCAAATAAATAAATAAAATGTTAAAAAAAATAGGGAAGATGGTTTTGATGGAGGACACAGAGAAACTGATGGTTTAGAAAGGTGCAGTGTAAGATATATGCAGAGAGGGTAAGTGTGACCTGGTGATGGCACTTTTTTATTTTTATCTATTTTTTATTTATTTTTTAAAAGATTTTATCCATTTATTTGACATAGGGAGAGAGAGAGAGCATGCACACAAGCAGGCAGAGTGGCACAGAGAGGGAGAGGGAGAAGCAGGCTCCAGGCATAGCAGGGGAAGCCCGATATGGGACTCTATCCCAGGACTCCTGGAATCATGATCTGAGCTGAAGGTAATCGCTTAACCAACTGAGCCACCCCAGGTGGCCAAGAATACATATTTAAGAGGATTTAATTAGTAGGATATTAACAGACAAAATCCCTACAGTGTTAGTAATTCTCACTAGTATTCAAGAATCGCTAACACTGAAATGAATGCTCTGAGGTTACTGAGGAAGTGAGGTCTCCAGGCATGTGGGGAGACTGCAGGATGGAGAATTTGAGCACCTCCGGACAGCTGTGGCTGAGACGGTTACAGATGAAGTGATGATTTACAATGAACTGAATTAATATTTACTGATCTGAGGAGGTAGAGTTAAGTTCACAAACTCTTAACTAAGTGGAAGGGGAGCAAAAGGGCCACAAAATAACCTGCTGGTCTCGACTCTACCCAATCTGCCTGGGCTATGTCAGGGAGTCAACAAAGAAACAACTTGGGGGTTGCAGTGCATTGATTTAAAATAAAAATGAACATTCATTAAGTGTCTGCCTCCAGCTCAGGTCATGATCCCAGGGTCCTGGGATCGAGCCCCACATCGGGCTCCCTGCTCAGCGGGAAGCCTGCTTCTCCCTCTCCCACTCCCCCTGCTTGTGTTCCCTCTCTCGCTGTGTCTCTCTCTGTCAAATAAATAAATACAATCTTTAAAAAAAGAAAGAAAGAAATGAACATAGTAACTTAGATCACTTTCACCATATCGTATTGCATTGGATTGAGACATAGCTTTGCTTCTGTTTATGGAACTGTCAATATTTTATCCTCATATGTGTTATTTCAAATGAAAGTCTCCATTTTATTTATTTTTTTAAGGAGGCTCCATGCCCAACAGGAGGCTTGAACTCATATATCCATAGATTGAGAGTCATGTGCTCTACCAACTAACCAGCCAAGCATCCTCCAAATGAAAGTCTTTTTTTTTTTTTTTAGAATGTTAGCATGTTAGATAGGCACAAGTGAAAACAAGAGTTCTAGGTTTTCTAATCTCAAAAGCAAATTTGGATTCTGTCATTTTTATTTGACCCCTGACCAATTAATTATTTGTCAACAGAGTTATAACTAGGCTGCTCCACATGATGACCACTTTACTTAAAACTAAAGTTCAAAAAAAAAAAACCCAAAAAACACTAAAGTTCACCCTCACCAGGCGATAACTATAATCATTTAAATCAACAGAATACACTTGGCTTTCAACATCAGCAACTTACGTCATATGTGTATGAATTGTACTTAATCAAACTTCTAGTTCCTGTAAGTCATGTCTTTCAATTCTCCCTATGTCCCCCAAAAATCCAATTATAGTACTTTGCCCATAAGGGACCAAAAATGACTATTTAATATTGCAACAAAGAAAAATCATGGTCTAATCATGTTGATTATCTGGTCAAAAAATATACATTATGCCAAAGAAATGTAACTAGCTTATCTTGGAAAAACACAACTGCAAACTTATCTCCCTGTTCCCATTACACTAACTAATCAACAGTGTTAACATTCCATTTGAATTAAATATGGCATTAAAAAAATAGTGTCACGTGACTGCACATGAACTATAAGGCTCTCAGAAACTGACAGTAAATGGTAAAATCCCATGAGAATGAAACAGATCTAAAAACATTCTGAATGTCATTTAATGAACTATGCACAGTGAAACTGTTACTTTCAGTTTCAGATCAAGCACACAGTTTGGTTAACGGTGCTATCAGCGTCTGGCTCTATGCTGTCTCTGGCTCAGCAATCCAGGTCACTTTCGGTGTGAAGAGCTCATTACTCTGCTCCTTGCTCTTCTATCAACAGTCTGTCACCCTCCTCCCCCATCTCAATTCTCCCCAGTATACCACTTTTTAAAATAAAATCAGCTCATATTAAAATACACATAAAAATAGCAAGTGGCCCCCCAAAATGCTTTTGCTACAGAAACCGGCGCACGTGAATTACACAGAAATCTGCCTCTATTAATAGACCGATGTAATGTGTTCATCAAAGAACCGCTATGTTCCAGTCTGCTAGTACAGAGAAATAGATTCATATAGAGTACTAGGAACTTTAGGTCTAAATTGGATTCTCCCCGTTGTAGTTTAATAGTAGTATTCGTGTAAGTGATCAATTCCCAAATGGAAAATACAGTCATTTCTTAGCCAGAAGGCATACCGTAAATGAAGCTCAAATAACATCTATAGGATTCTTATTTTAGGAAGGTCTTATTCAAAGCCACTTCTCTTGCATTATCACTGCAATCAATAACAATAACATTGCTCAAAGGAAGGTAATACTTTTACTTATTCTAACAAGCCTTTAGTCTTCAATATACATACCAACAGTGTGGATAGGTTTCCTATAGGGCATCAGGCCAAAATTGTATTGAAAAATTCCTCTGGCATGGAACAGCGGCAAAGCAAACCCCATGATCTTCTGCAGCTTCTCCTGCACAGTTCGAAGCCATGAACCTTCAGGGTTGTTAACTTGCTTAAATAGCTCATTTTCTCCAAAAGAAAACACCGGGACCAAGGAGGCGCTACAAAGAACAAAGCAGAAGAATACAAATTCTTTTCTTTTTTTAAGATTTTATTTATTTACTTGACAGAGATCACAAGTAGGCAGAGAGGCAGGCAGAGAGAGAGGAAGGGAAACAGGTACCCTGGGATCATGACCTGAGCTGAAGGCAGAGGCTTTAACCCACTGAGCCACCCAGGCGCCCCAAGAATACAAATTTTTAAGGAAAACAATTTGTTTTATTCTGTTCAAATGACTTTTGCAACATATCCAAAGAATTTTTCTTTTCTTTCCTTTCAATATTATTTATTTATTTATTTATTTATTTATTTATTTATTTATTTATTCAGTTCAACTAGTCAGCATATAGTACATCATTAGTTTTTGATGTAATGTTCAATGACTGGGCATGCGTTTTGATGAGTGTTGTACGTAACCGATGAATATGTGAACAAAGAATCTTTCAGTGTTCCCATGTCTCTCTGTACTGTTAATTTCATGTTCCACACAATGCAACTGACTTATACTTGAAATCCTTTTGGGCGGTATTTTAGCGATTTAGTGATCTGCGGAATTTTATTCCACAGAAAAATCAAGGGTCCAGGAAATTTCTTTCCCACCTATAATTCAGGCCATGATTCATTTGTCCATTTGGCTGGAAACTTATACTCTGTGTATAAAATTTCATAATTTTTGCTTGCTTTTTTTTTTTTTGAGAGTTTATTTATTTCCTTGAGAGAGAGAGAGAGAGAGAGAGAGAAAAGGAGTGGGGAAGGGAGGGGCAAGAGAAAGAGAAAAGCAGACTCCCCCCTGAGCAGGCAGCCCAATGAGGGGCTCAATTCTAGGACCTGGGATCATGACCTGAGCTGAAGGCAGAGGCCCAACTGCCTGAACCACCCAGACACCCTGTTTGCTTTGCTTTTAAAGGTGCATTTAACTTCTGGATGCGACAGTATTGAGCTACCTTAGTGGGGAGGCTGTATACCATTTCCCATGAACATCCACATCTGCTTTTATTGTAAGGTCGACTAAGAGGAAGTCTGTCTTTAAGGACTAGAAAAATTACTTTATTTCTTTGTGTTCATTTAATAACATCTTAATTTCTCTGACCCAGGTTACCTGAAATGAGAAGTTACTTACCCATGGGTCAAAGCAATTTTAACAAATCCTTTCCGCTGGCGGATGAACAGAGTGAATTTTCCAGGATGGGCATCCAGTGATTCTTCTGCACCCCCAAGAACAATGACTGAAATGTTTCCACCTCCCTCCTTGCTCAGCACATGGGACACACTTTTCTTAGAAACTGAGACTGACCCTTAGTGAATAAAACAAAAGGCTAAGTATTTATTTTAAAAATTAAAAAGTTTTTATCATAATATTCAATGGCATCAGCAAACATTTAATAAAATTCCCTATCCTGCTTACATTTGGAACATCTTGTAGTTTATAATTTTGTCACAGCCGGATCTTTGGTAATATATTCCATTAATAAGACATAACATTTTGGCAGGTGATGGGTTAGGTCTTTAAAATATCACTTGTTGGGGCACCTGGGTGGCTCAGTAGTTAAGCGTCTGCCTTTGGCTCGGGTCATGATCCCGGGGTCCTGGGATCGAGCCCCACATCGGGCTCTCTGCTCAGCGGGGAGCCTGCTTCCTCCTCTCTCTCTGCCTGCCTCTCTGCCTACTTGTGATCTCTGTCAAATAAATAAATAAAATCTTTAAAAAAAAATAAAAAAAAATCACTTGTTTTTAGATCTATCTCTTATCTGGGTAGGTTGTACACTGCTCAACTCTATGGACTCTATTCACATTGCACTGTAAGTGAAAGATGCCCTCTGCAGTTGTTCAGTGCACAACCTGGATAGCTGTATATGGTGGCCTTGATCACCACCCTGGTGCATCCTGGTTCAGAACCAAAAAGCATATTCTTTTCAAGAGGTTGCACTGGACCTTCTGAACACACAAGGGCCAGTTTTCAGATATTCTATGTGGATTCTTGTTTCCCAAATCTAGATTTATAATGTAAATGATTTTAAAAATTCAGACATCTGACAAATAACCAGATCTTTACATAGTTCCAAAATGTCTAGTCTGACTTTGATAAATTGTTTGTTTAAGATACTTATGTAATTGTTCAGTCTTGTACCAGGCTTTCCCACATAAAAATAACTTTAAAGATTCCTTGTCAGATTTTGAATGTACTAAGTAATTTTTCCTCTTGGAGGAAAAAGCCATGAACTCTTAAACGGAAAAAAAAAAAAAAATACAAGCCACTCATGACCTGTATTACAGAGATAATTGCTTTTTAAAGTCTTATTGTTTCCTTCCATTCATGGCTTTATCTATTTTTTGAGTCATAAAAGAATGTGTCAGGCGGGCTTTATTAAGACACAACATACCTCATTTCTCAAAGGACAGTTATATGCTCATTTTACTATAAGTGCCTATTACTGGGGGAATATAAAATAAGGCAGGATTCTGACTGACCAACCACTTACTAAAAAGGCAGAAGAAGGAGGGTTAGAGGGTAGAGAACCTGAGTCTCAATGGGTTTGAACTTCTTTTGAGTTCAAGGCATTGCCATTCTGCCCTGCATGCCTGGAGTGGGAGCTGGAGGCATTAATTCCATTGGAAAGGGGGCCTTCTGAGTTTCCAGACACCAGCTCTCCTCCAGCCACTTCTCAGTTCCCTCTCTGGGCTCTCTTTACAGATCATCCTTAAATGCTGCTATGACTTAGAGCTCTAAGACCTGCATATTTGTATTCCTCTAAAATTTCTATGTTGAAACCCTAATCCCCAGTAAGAAGATATTAAGAGGTAGGGCCTTTGGAAAGTAACTAGGTCATGAGAACATAGCCCCAAGATGGGATCAGTGTCCTTACAAAAAGAGGAAGAGAGGACGTAACAAGATGACTATCCATAAGCCAGGAAAGGAGCTCTAACCAGACACCAGATCTGCCAGGGCCTTGATCTTGGACATCCAGCCTCCAGAAGAGTGAGAAATAAATGTCTATTATTTAAGTCACCCAGTCTATAGTATTCTGTTACAGCAGGCTGAACTAAGACAGGCTCCTTCAGAGTCTCTAATATCTTCTAATGTTATCTACATACAAGGATTCAAGTACCACTTAAGTGTGCTGAGCTCTCCCAAATCCATCTCCTGGGACATTTTCCTCCTGAGGCTCTACACCCACACTTCCAATGGCCCAATGGACATTTCTACCTCACCAACTCAAAGACACCACAAACTCCATATTTCCAAACCCAGTAAACTGTGTTCCTCTTACAACATTACCTCTCAAGGTGAATGGGACCATCACCTATCTTGTCACACAAGTCAGAGGTATAGGCTCCTCCCATACATACCCCCCTCTTCTTAGCAACCACGTTGACTCATCACTCATTCTCTCATTCAAAACACTTCTTGAGCACCTGCTATAGGCAAGACACCGTGCTAGATGCTGATGATACGACATATATAGTTGCTACCTTCATGAGGCCACATCAGTCCCTAAGTCTTGTTGAATCCATCAGCTGTTTTTCATATCGACCTCATCTGGGCTATATACGTGGCTGTTGTGATCTGATCTCTGCTACCTGCCAAGCCGTACTGGGCACATGGGAAGGAACATGAGCCTCAAAACACAGAATGTGCCCTGGCTGATGAGCAGAGGTTCACCAAAATGGACCACAGAGGAATAGTTTGGAGGGGGGACTTATGGGGACTTACAGTGACTGAAACTCTATTGCTTCTTCTTTTTTTTTTTTTTTTTAAAGACTTTATTTATTTATTTGACAGAGAGAGAGATCACAAGTAGGCAGAGCAGCAGGCAGAGAGAGAGGGGGAAGCAGGCTCCCTGCCAAGCAGAGAGCTGGATGTGGGGCTCGATCCCAGGACCCTGAGATCATGACCTGAACCGAAGGCAGCCGCTTAGTGACAGCCACCCAGGCGCCCCTCTATTGCTTCTTTACTGCATGAGGTTTGGTACACATGTCTGTCTGTCTTTCACACCGAGACGCAGCCACCAAGCCAGGCATAGAGTAGAAAAGCAGCCTTGGACCAGGGGCCATCTTGGAAGCTGGTTCTAGGAAAAAATGGAGAACTCTCCAAACTTTGAGATAAGGACACCCTAAGGCTCTACCAGGTACAAATTTCGATATTTTTATTTAACTTTATTTAGCTTTATTTTAGCTTTTATTTAGCTACAAGTTTGGATATTTTATTTAGCTTTAGTTTGGATATTTTTTATCTAGCTTTTAGAGATAACGCAGGTGATGGCAGAAAGGAAAAGATCCCATGACGTCATAAGCCAGAAAGAACAGACAAGCTTAATCTCAAATGCCAGCTCGAGCAAATGGCAGTGACTCCGAGGGCACTATATGGAGAAAGACTCTTAAGGTTGACTACATGTATCTGACATGGCCACGGAAAGGGGTGTTCCTACATCTCTTGTACCATAAATTTGCCACACCTGCTCTCAGTTACCACTACCCAAACTCACTTGCAGCTTGGAATCAGAAAACAGTATATTGGAAATATAGTTCTGTGCTTTTTTTGAAATTTAAAAAATTTCCCTTTAATTTTTTTTCCTCTTATAAAACTAACCCAATCAATGTCTGCAAAACAAGGGAGGGATTTTTTGCCTGTATAATAGTTTGGAGGTTTGGTGCGCCCTCTAGAGGCCACACGCAGTGACAGCCAGACTGGACAGAGAGCCCAGGGCCCTATGGATGAAGGTCCGTCCATATTCAGCACCTGAAAACCCAGCCAGGGATCCCAGTCCTCTGGTAGTTAGTGACTTCCTATCAGGTATACAATGACAACAGAGACTTAAGAGATTAATAGGAATTAATGAAAACCTGGGAGACCCTGGAAAATTCTATCTTTGAATATGCCACTTATCCTGAAATTACACATTTTCAAAAAAAGGCTACCCACTTTTCTTTATATCCCAGAAATGCAAGACAACAATAGTTAATGTAGACGATGACCATAAACATAAAGCACTTTGTAAGGTCCTGTAGTTCATGCTGAGTCAATAAGTTGGTCAGGTTAAAAAATCAAATAAACTGAACCCCTCAAATTGACGTGAGAGCTGTTCACACAAGATTAGCCTCTGTACACACTCATATGTGTCTTTATAGTATTTCAGCTCAATTTTATTCTTGGAATTGGTAGAATCATGGTTTCATTAATCAAAGAGTCTTCCACTAGTTCAGAGTAGCAGAGTAAAATGAACTCAGTTCTGAGCCAAGTTCTATTTAATCTGGGAAGAAAAACTCAAACTGAGTATGCTTCACTTATACACAGCTGTTACTTCAAGATATATTGGAGGCTATTTTCCATCTCTAATGCTCATAAACACAGGCAAAGTGCTTCTCCAAAGGTGCAATCTATCACTTGTTTGACCCAAGATTCTTTCTTCCACATCTGGATACACAAAATGCATTTATCAATTTATTCTTGCATTGAATTAATATCTATTGAACAGTCCTATATCCCAGGCCTTATGCTAGAAAGGAGTGGGGAAAAAAGGAAATAGTCTGGGTCTTCCTGAAACTTCCAGTCCAGTGGGAGAGACAAGAAACATCCAAGCAGCATGGGAAGAATCAGACAGGGATACAGACACAGGGCTTGACTAAGAAACTATAAACCTGGGCGCCTGGGTGGCTCAGTGGGCTAAGCCTCTGCCTTCAGCTCAGGTCATGATCTCAGGGTCCTGGGATCGAGCCCCTCATCGGGTTCTCCGCTCGGCAGGGAGCCTGCTTCTCCCTCTCTCTCTGCCTGACTTGTGTTCTCAGTCTCTCTGTCAAATAAATAAGTAAAATCTTAAAAAAAAAAAAAAAAAGAAACTATAAACCTGTGTTTGGGAGGGAACATCCTGTGTGATCCCACCACCCTCAAACACTGGAGAAATAAGAATCTGCCTTCACTTACCACTGGTCATCAGATAGTCTCGAAAGAGTGGACAGCGGAACCAAAATGGGAGCACATGAAGATACGCAGTGAAGCCAGGAAACAGCTCCTCAAAGTCCGAATAATTTGTACAAAAATTTCCAAAGGCTCCAGCAACAAGCACTCCATGGGGGTGAAACCCAAATATATAGTTGCGACTTGGATCCAAATCCCAGGTTTTGATGAGCTACCATATAGAGTGAGATAAAAAAAAAAAAAAAAAAAAGGTTCAGATTAGGTTCCAATAGGAAACCAAGAAACTCATGATTAGTTTTTACATCAGAAGGAAACAGAGGCGCGCCTAGGTAGCTCAGTCAGTCAAGTGTCTGCCTTCTGCTTAGGTCATGATCTCGGGGTCCTGGGATCCCACATTGGGATCCCTGATTGGTGGGGAGGCAGGTGGGGAGGCTGGTTCTCACTCTCCCCTCTGCTTGTGTTCTCTCTTGCTATCTCTCTCTCGAATAAATAAATGAATAAAATATTAAAAACAAACAAACAAAAAAGGAAATGGAAAACATGACTTGTTTAGTTCTCTGGGTTAGAGCTATTTCCAAATGTATAAACTATTTCCTGAGCCCAGAGCCCCCCCGCACATAGCCTCCAAAATGGTGTCAATTTAGCTCAGATCCCATTTAGAAATTTGGGCTGACTGGGGCGCCTGGGTGGCTCAGTGGTTAAAGCCTCTGCCTTCGGCTCAGGTCATGATCTCAGGGTCCTGGGATCAAGTCCCGCATGGGGCTCTCTGCTCAGCGGGGAGCCTGCCTCCTCCTCCTGTCTCTGTCTGCCTGCCTCTCTGCCTACTTGTGATCTGTCAAATAAAAAAAAAAAAAAATCTTTAAAGAAATTTGGGCTAATCTGCAGGCTTTCTCCCTCTGCAAAGAGAAAAGCTTGAACTATTTATGATGAAAACAAATTTCCACTCTTCTCCCAGCTCAAGATAGTACAACATAAAACAATTCTACTCACGTGAATCGGAAAATAGTCCTTAAAATACCTCCAAACGGTCCAGCTTCTGACCCAATTGGATCTCCTTCCCCCTTGCTCTGGGGTACTCCAGTCAAAGTAAAGCCATGTCATATAAGGGACATAGAGGAACCAATAGTTGTATACGATCAGTATCACGATGACTGCAATGCACACTTGTGCTGTAAGAAAGGGAAAGACCTCAGGAATCAGGGTCAGTCAGCATCTGCTCACTGTACTGTATAATCAGTGGTCCGTGGCAGGGGGGTTTAATTAATACACCAGGTGCATTAAACTGAGCCTAAGTCCAAGTGAGGTAATATAACAAGACAGCAATGATACAGTATTATTTAACATTTATTGTCTATTGACTATATGCCAAGTACTATATTGTATTCTCCCAAAATATTTTCATGTAGTCCTTGCATAGCTACAGTATCAACGAAGTGGCCACAGACAGCCCCTTTTGTAGAAGAGAAAATGGCATAGAAAGGTTAAATGGATTGCCCAAGCCCCACAGAAAGGAACTGGTTGATCTAAATCCACAGTGTACTCTCAAAGTCGCTGGTCTGCACAGCCTCCCTGACATGATATATGGAGGAATCATTGCTGAAAAAAGGGATGCAGGAATTCCTACTATAGGTGTTTACCTTGCTGAGCCACCATTATTTATGTGCCCACAAAGAGGGAACATTCTAGCAACAAACTATTTTCAGGAACTCTGTCGCCAGAGACAGAAATAGCGTAGGAGAAACTCTTTACATCTTAGTTCATCTTTCACTACTTACAACATTTCATTATGACAAAGCAAAATCCAAATTGTTTATGCACCGAATGACATAGCTTCAAAATATATGAAGCAAGAAAACTTGACTGGGTAGTAGTGACAAGAATGTTTGCCTTAAAGTAATATATTAAGCTAAGCCAGATTTTTTTTATATCAGTGCTCTCATACTAAAAAATATTTATAAAAAGAGAAATATAGATGGTCTGGGTGGCTCAGTCAGTTAAGCATGTGACTTGATTTTGGCTCGGGTCCTGATCTCAGGGTCCTGGGAGCCCTGGGTCTTGGTTCCATGCTTTGTGGGGAGCCAGCCTGCTTAAAATGTGCTCCCTCTCCCTCTGTGCCTCCCACCCATCCACCCCCATGCTCTCTCAAATAAAGAAATAAATCTTTAAAAAAAGAGAGGGAGAGAAATATTAATAAGAAAGAAGGAGGGAGGGGCGCCTGGGTGGCTCAGTGGGTTAAAGCCTCTGCCTTCGGCTCGGGTAATGATCCCAGGGTCCTGGGATCGAGCCCCACATCGGGCTCTCTGCTCAGCAGGGAGCCTGCTTCCTCCTCTCTCTGCCTATCTCTCTACGTACTTGTGATCTCTATCTGTCAAATGAATAAATAAAAAAATCTTAAATAAAAAATTAAAAAAAAAAAAAAGAAAGAAGGAGGGAAGCATAAAGTCATAAAACTTGGCACACAGTAAGTGCCCAATAAATACCACCCGTTACCTATGACTTTAAGATTGCCTTTGTCTCTTCTTCTGTTAACGTTCTGCAGTTTTGGTTTTAGAGCTGATTTCAGTTCCCCAAACTCCTATGCACTCCCTATCAACTTTGCTACAAAGAGTTCTGTTTCCAAACCATCCATCATAGTATCTGATTAACAGCACTTTGACCTATCACAGTTTTGTAGGTACAATTTTTTTTTTTGCCAAAAACAGAACATATATTTATATTTATGGAGATACATAAATCAGTAAATATCCCAGTATAGATTTAACCTAAATACAGAATTGACCCCCGTTTAAGAGGACAGACCTGCTTTCTCCAGGATAGGTTAAGGTTTGTTAAAGGAAAGTACATGAAAGGTTAAGGAAGAACGTGCCCTCTATCCCTCCATGGGGTGTTTGTTACGTTCTGGAACAGCCAGGGGTATTTCCATGACTCCAGGAGTACGGCCAAAGAGAGTGTCCTCTGCCCTCATTCCTATCAGGATCATTTCATTTTGCTTCCCCTGCTTCCCTCTACCCAGGTCTGAGTGCTGACAATTTACCACTGTTGGTTAATTTTCTCTTTATTTCACTACCATGTGTCAATTATGTACAAGAAACTCCCATGGGTCTCATTAAGCTGCACTCTCCACTAGATCAGGTGAGCTAAGACGCAGCAGGGAAGGGAGAGATTAGTTTCTGAGTGATGTCCACCTCCCCCAGGCAATGTCATTTTCTCTCCTCCCAACCCTCAAGGTACATAGTACTGTCCCCATTTTGCAGATGTGGAAACTGAAGCTCAGGGATTTTTAGGGTCCAAAGGACTTGAACCTGAATCTGCCTCATTCTTAAACCCACACACTTTTATCAATTTTTTAATTTTTTTTTAAGATTTTATTTATTTATTTGACAGAGATTATAAGTAGGCAGAGAGGCAGAGAGAGAGAAAGAGAGAGAGAGAGAGGAGGAGGCAGGCTCCCTGCTGAGCAGAGAGCCTGATGCGGGGCTCGATCCCAGGACTCTGGGATCATGACCTGAGCTGAAGGCAGGGACTTTAACCCACTGAGCCACTCAGGCACCCTAGACCCACACTTTTTTTTTAAAACAAAACAAAACAAAACAAAACAAAACAAATCATAGCTCATGGCAAGAGCACCATAAACTTACAAGTATTTATTAGAAACGCATAGGCAGGCTCATAAGCATAAGAAATCAGGCAAACGGGAGGGTCTGTTTTCCTTACTATAATGATGGAGAAACTGAGACCAAAAGCATAATAACTTAATTTGAACCAAAGGAGTCAAGAGCAGATCCAGAAATAAAGTCCCCAGGCTACTCATTCGGTGTTCCACTAACCCAACCACACACACACACTAACTGAATACATACTGCATCTCTCTTCAACAGCCACTAAATGTTCTGCATGGATGATGGTTAAAACACGGACCTGGAATTGGACCGCTCATGTTGGAATCTGCCACCAACTAGCTGCCTAACCTGCAGCGAGTTCTTTTACTTCTTGAACCTTAATGCCTTTACCTGTGAGATAAGCTAATGACAGCACCGGCCTTCAAGGACGATGGGGAAATAAATGTAGACATGCCATCATGCCTAGCACACTCTTGACAAATGGGAGCGGTGTTATAGTGATGGTGTTTACTATCACACGTTTGGAAAATACAAAAACTAAAAGCAGATAAAACAGCACCCACATTCTTATCACTCAACCAAAAGTACTGTTAAAATTTTCCTGGTGGTCTTTTTTTTACCCCCCCTATGAACAGTTATGTTTCCTTAACATGGCTGACCACTCTTTTTTTTAAGTTTCTGTATTGTATCTCTTATGATGATCTCACACTAGCTGTTTTATTTTATAAATTTGGTATTAAAACCTCTTCAAAATGGTCTTTTGGGGGCGCCTGGGTGGCTCAGTGGGTTCAAGCCTCTGCCTTCGGCTCAGGTCAGGATCCCAGGGTCCTAGGATCGAGCCCCGAATCTGGCTCTCTGCTCAGCAGGGAGCCTGCTTCCTCCTCTCTCTGCCTGCCTCTCTGCCTACTTGTGATCTCTGTCTGTCAAATAAATAAATAAAAATATTTTTTTAAAAAATGGTCTTTTTGATGACTGATTCATATTCCATTGGATGGCAATACTAATTCAACCATTCTTTCTGAAAATGTGGGCTTCTCACAAATTTTCTCTAGAAACATAAATTTGTATAACATTTGCCCACATTTTAATTTACTTCTAGATCACCAAGCAGAAACACCTCTGTCACTTGATACACTCTGATTCCTCACGATCCAAAGGCGTTGTTCTCATTTAAACTCCCACTGCACACATTGCATTCATTCTTTAATATTTCATATCGTTTACAGCACCAAAATAGCTTTTTAAATCCCATGATCCTAAATTGGACTAAAAGAAGAAACACTTAAAAAACGAGGTGACCGGATCACCTCTCTTTTCTATTTTTATCTCATTAAGCAATCCAAGGTAACATGATTCCTCTGAATGGGAGGTCAAAGAGAAAAGATTAAAAAAAAGTCTACTCCAACATACTGCATGGTTCTCAAAACTGACACTGATACCCTTTAAAAGTGTCTTGATCGGGGCGCCTGGGTGGCTCAGTGGGTTAAGTCACTGCCTTCGGCTCGGGTCATGGTCCCAGGGTCCTGGGATCGAGCCCCGCATCGGGTTCTCTGCTCAGCAGGGAGCCCGCTTCCTCCTCTCTCCTGCCTGCCTCTCTGCCTACTTGTGATCTCTGTCTGTCAGATAAATAAATAAAACCTTTAAAAAATAAAAATAAAAAAATAAAAAAAAATAAAAGTGTCTTGATCTACAAACCAAGTTGCACAGAAGGCATAAATTTCAGTTGTGACGACCGAGGTATACGTTGAATGAAAAACCAAAAGCCAGCCTCTATCATTCACACTCTATTATAACTTCATGCCCACAGATTCTACTTCCTGTACATCATCAAGAAGCAGCCTCTCCCTCACTTCTTTTTTTAAATGCAGTGAAACTCACATAACACAAATGAACCATTTTAAAGAAATCAATCTGGTAGCGCTTAATACATTCACAGTGTTGTAATTCTACCTAGTTGCAAAATACTTAGATCACTCAAAAATGAAACCCTGAGCCCATCAGGCAGTTACTCCCTATTCCCTTCTTCTCTGCCCCTGGCAACCAGCAATCTGCATTATGTCTATGTCGAGATATTTTGTATGAATGGAATGATCCAATATGTAAGCTTCTGTAGACTTTCACTTAATATCAGGTGTTTGAAGTTCATCTGTCTTGAAACGTGTATCAGTACATCATTCCTTTTTAGGGTTGAATAATATTCCCCTATATGACTATATCATGACTTGTTCACCCATTCATCTGTTCAACATTCACCATACAACATTTGATTTGTTTCCACCTTTTGGCTACTATGAATAATGCTGCAATGGCCCACCCACTTCAACAGTACTAAGAGAAACAAATAAGGCTCAGCCAAAATGTATGGCATTGTCATTAAATTTAGCAACACCAATAAAGGGACAAAGTGACATGACACCTCTTGATATGATCTAATGGGAAATAAACCTCATTACTTTTGTGGTCTTTTTGCCAAAAACACTCAACCTGACTCTAATCATGACAACATAATTAGGCAAGTCCAGACTCCGGGACATTCTATAAGATAGTTA